TTATATATATATATATATATATATATATATATATATATATATATATATATATATTTTTGTTCGAACCAATCGAGACGTAGCGTTTTACGGGGAATGTAACTGTTTACGCTCATCGCGGGTATATTCGAGTGGTTCGTTACGTCCAGTTATCGTGTTTTCGCGCTACAGTTTGCTCTAATTACTCGAAAACCTCTAACAGTCGTTCATCCAGGCTTCACCTCCTCGCTCTCGTACTCCTCTGTGCCGTGTTAATTTATGCTCGGCGCTCGCTGAGTTTCGATCGATCTCGCGATCGATCTGTTTAATTTGTAAAAGAAAAAAAAAAAAAAGAAGAAGAAGGAAAATTTTTATAGAAAATTATGACAAATACGAAATTCGCCGAGGTTCGAAAGAAAATTATTCGACCAGCGAACTCTCTCTGACCCAAATTTCCTTTTTTCCTCCTATCCGAGTGTTTTGGTATTAAATGTGTCGCGACTAGTGCTCGAAAATGGGAGAGGAAATAACAAAAATCGAATAAACGATGGTACTTGTGTCTTAAACTTTCTCCAAATTGTAATTATATGCACATTTTTAAAGAAATGAAATCGAAGTTCGGAATATTCGAAAATATGGAAGTTTTAAAGTTAGCGATAGCTTAAGAACTATCGTATATTGGCATGGAAGTGGAATTCCATTAGCGCCACTTTATATGCACTTCAAACTGGATGATGCTTAAACGATAATGCAATACAATGGTATTATGTACGATGAAATTTGTTTCCCATTGTTTTTTTTTTTTTTTTGTATCGGTGTACATATATAGATATATATATATATATATATATGTATAACAGGATATTTCTTTATTGATACCATCTTTCTGAAACGTCATGCCATACCTTATAATCATGCGCTGTAAATAAATTGTACACGAGACTTTGCGAAACAATGGGATGCGAATCGGGGTATAGTTCCTCTCTGTTTTTATTGTTCGTACCAAGTATTCGTAATTTACGGTTGAACCTTTATAAAACCTCGCGTTAGAGAGTAATTTGCTTCGCGTATGTATGAATCGCGGGACAAAATTTCTTTCGATCTTGTTTGCGAAAAAAAAATAGAATACAATGGAAGCACTTATACTATCGATCTTAATTGAATAACTACGGCGCGTTTTAAATTTCGAAAATTGAATTATCGTTACGATTAAGAATGAAAGGAGAAAAATCAATCAATGTGTAAGTCGTAAATAACGCTCGTGAAGCCGCTTTCGACATTTAACATTTGCGTTTTAAATTAAAGTTCACCAAGTAAAATTTGAAAAAAATTTGAAGAAAACCAAAGTGTTTATTAAATATAACTGTTTTATATCAAAAATAATAATAATAATAATAATAATCAGGAACAAAGTTTTACGATAAAACAAGTTGTATTATGAAATTATATCAAAGTGGTATTCGTACTTTCATAAAAATGTGAAAGATCTTTCAAGCACGCTCAACTTCCATCATTTTTCCCTCAACCTCGTAATTTCGTATGATTATAAAATAAACAATGATAAGCATTTTATCTACGAAATTAATTATTATCGATCGATTTTCTAATACATGTCGCATATATGTGTATACGTATATATATTTCGTGTCGTCAATTAATTAAAACAACTTCAAGCCTCCAATTTCAATATCGTGAAATTATATGTTAAAAGGTAGATTCTTTTTTATTTCCAATTTACATCTCGACTTATGTTGACGCGTGGAAAAATAAAATTACGGGAAAAAATTGGAATTGGAGTTGAAATAGGTGCAATAATTCATATTTCTTTCCCAACGTTTAAATTCCTCTCTTCTCCTCGCGAAATATTTCATTACCGATTACACTCTTTCTTTCCTGCTTTCTTTAAAGCTAACGCGACTTCAAAACATCGCTCCTGGATCCCCGTATAACTCGAATGCTTTCAACTTACGTTGCATATTTTACCAGGTATATACATCCATCCGAAAGTGCATAAAACAGAATAACATTACATCAGACTTTGTGCACGAAACGTAAAACAATTGATATGGAAACCTCCTGCATCCCTTCAAGGGACGAACATCTCTCCCTGAATCTCGCGACGAATCGCGTAGTACAATCAAAATCTTCTCTCCAAAATCTCTTTTTCTTTTTTTCCATCTCCTCCAAAATCCAAATAGAATTCATCGATTCTCGTTCATTAATCTCGCCACGTATAAATATCAAATCCACTCTCTCTCTCTCTCTCTCTCTCGTATAAATAATACTCCACGAATTAAATATCCCCTCCTTCCATCGATCATCGACGAACATCGAAAGATTTCTCGAGCACTTCTTCCTCCCGTTCTTCCCCGGCTAGAAGTAATCAATTGCGGATGGAAAACGGTTGGCGTGGAAGGCAACCGGCCGAATCGAATCAAATCGACATTCATGGGAGGTAAGGAATGATTCCCTCGGTCCGAATCTGTCGCAGTCACGCTCTCCCAGTTCTGATGACAGACCCAGAGGACCGTCGGGGACCTGCCAATCACCATCCAGGGATTTTAGCCTCGAGGACTTGGAATCCAAGGCTGCGCACCGTCACGTAGAACGTTGGACGTTTCGCCAGGCGAACGGCCAGGCTATGTCGTTAGTTTACCCTTAGCTCGTGCCCGTAGGATCATATACGACCGGTGGCTGCAACCAATTTGCATAATTCGAGAGGGACACACGCACTCCGCGCTGCGTGAACTGTGAACTCGCCTGAACTGTGTGCTACGACGCCATCGCGTGGTGTGGGCGGATACGTATGGTATCGTTCAAGGTCCGTGGTGTAGCAAGGCATCCTCGAGAAATTAGATTCTATCGTTCTCTCCTGCGATGTACTGCGATGCGTGCCCCGTGATTTATCGAGTTTCCTCCGTGGCTCGGGTTAAGAAAACTTTTATGGCAGCCCGGTATAATATAAGCCTGGTCGGATTAAAGACAAAACAGTACATACACGTACAGATTCTCGTAATAAAGAGGAGCGAATCGTGGACGAAGAGGATCGAGGGATCTTGTTCCACTTGTTTAAGAACAATGAAGAAACGGAGTGAGGTACGGGTTGTTGGTGTTGGTGTTGGTTTCGTAACGAGACGTTACGTAACACGTGGAAACGTCGTTTCTAAGACTGGATAAAAATCGAACGAGTCGCTCCGTGGATTTATAGTTTCGCGTGGAATATAGTTTATGTAATCGAATGATTTATTTATCATCGGTGAGAGAATAGGAACAATTTGTTTGCCGAGCGTACGTCTTAATCCACAAAAGATTCTCCAAGGATACAAAAACTCTTATTATACAACAATTAATTAACAACGGTATCAAAGCGATTCCGAAATCGTAATTCCTTAAAATATACAATTACCGGTGGATCATCGAGTTGATTCCCAACTCGAGTCTACGTCGCTTTATCTACAGTTTCGATCTACAGTTCCCCGACTCGCCAAACTCGGGAATACCTCGTGTTTTCCACTTTTTCCAACCAGCTGTAATCTTCGTGGCGATACTGACGATAACGATTCGAAAGCTCGGTTCAAAGGGCATCGATACGCGAACCCAGTGACCAATAAACGTGGCCGTTGCGCCGGTC